TTTAGTTGATCTTATAGCCCACAGTTTCATTTCCCACTTTGCTTTTGTAAACACCAAGTCAGGTGTTTTCATTATTTGTCTTTCATATAGTCAATTTCTGCTTATGTTACCCACGTGTGCACCAATTTCTTGATTCACTATTATGTTTTGCATCTTACCATTTCCTTCTGGGATCAATTCCTTCTCACAATTTTTCTCTCAGTGGGATTCTATGAGTTGTAAACTCTTTTTAATATTTACTTTCCTAAAGACACTTTTATTTTTTCTTCACTTTTGAACAATAGTTTAGATCGAAATGGAATTTCGGTTCAGCAGTTATTTTTCGCCAGCATTTTGAAGACGTGTTCCATTATCCTCTGGGTTAAATACTACCGTTGAGAAGTCTTTTGCCCATAACTATTGCTTGTATATGGAGAACTCTTCTCTGTTTTCTCTTTAACTTCTGTATTCAGTAGTTTAACTATGATGCGTTCAGTTATAGATTGATTTTTATTTATTCTGCCTGAACATTATGCTTTGCAAAATATGATTAATCAGGTTTGTCGTTAATTCTGGACAGCTTTCCTCTTGTGCATCCTCTCAGTTCCTTTCTTTTGGAACTTCTATTAGGCATTTCTGCTGGGTTTATCATTCCGTTCTCTATTTTCACATTTTTCGTACTTTTCATCTCTTTTTCTGACATCATATTCTACTTTGGTTAAAGTCTCCTGATCCATCTTCTAATTCATTTACTATCTTTTCTTCTGGTTCCAACATACTTCTATTGAGCTTTTAGTTCCAAAGTCTGAATTTTTAAAATGTTTATTTGGTTCATTGTAAAACCTGCTTGTTCTGTTTTCATACTGATATATGCATGTATTAGAATCTCCATTAGGTTTTAAAGGTCTTTATTCATTTTAAACATATTAATTTTATATTGTCTTCCAGAGTGGTATCTGTCATGTCAACTTTCTGGTGCTCAAATCATCCTGTTTTTTGCTGAATCTCACTCACGGTAGAACATTTCCATGTGTCTTCCCTGGTTCCCTAGGTCTTGGTTTCTTCTTTCATGTTTTTCTCTTTCTTTTCTTGAGCGTTCAGCTGTCCATTTAAAGATAATTTTTGTGTAAGTATCAAACGTTTATAGCTGCTTCTAGTGGTATGAGATTTTCAGATTGTAAAGAGTTGCCATCTTGCCAAAACCGTAAGCCTCAGCTCCTCTTGCTTAACAACCGTGCTTCCCATCAGACAGGTAATCAGATGAGAGCAAAGGGTGTCACTTTGTCTTAAATGGGTCATTTCTATCTCTGCAAACTTCAAAACAAGACAGCAGCCATCTCCACTGACATCTGATTTTATTTTTAGCAGTGTTGCTTTGACTGTGAGCATCAAGAACAAACAAAAAAGGGAAACGAAAGTGATTAAGCTTGGGAAGGTGGGGAGGGATTATACCAAGCACACAGGGGCATCTTAAGGACATTGAGGAGAAGGAGGAGCCGAGCCTCAGGATGGACTAAAAAGCTATCAAGTGCCCAAACAGGGCTCATTTTGGATGTGTAGCTCAACTCTCTCTGCACATCTGCCATATTCTTCTCTACTTCCTTTCAAATTGGCTTCCCCTGCTTCACATGCATGTGGCAAACATGGCTATCAGCTTTCTGATGGCCCGGCTTGCTGGTTTAGTACTCCTCTGTGCGAGAGACCATCTCAGGCTGAAACTAGTCTCTTGGTCTCCTTCCTCCACTCCTGGAGGGGAGAGGATCAGATTGGGTCTAGTGGGTTATGAGTCTGTGTTAATCCTCCCATGTATGGACAAGGAAGCAGGGCCATATAATAATATAAACACAGTTTCTGGACCACACTCCTACATCAGGCAGTAGTCAAAGAACTAGGTGACTGTGGATTGTGAAGCTGTCCCTGAAAGATAGTTACTACATCCCTAAGCAGAAATGGTATCCTTTGCATCATTGCTCACAAAGTGACCTGGGGGCTCGTAGGTAATAACAATGAAGGCAGGTAGAAAGAATTCCTAGCAGATGCTGCGAGCCTCAAACTGTGACGGGGCATTTCCCGTGAGAAGAAGAAGGATGATCTAGAAACAGAAAGGGGGAGGCAGCAGAAAGTTGGCCCTTGCGACTCTACCTTGTCTGGATGCTACAGGGCGAGCAGAGAGTGAGAGCTCCCCATTAAGAGGACTCTAGAGGAAGCCATGACCCCTGGGGGACCTGGGTTTTTATTAGAGCCAGAAGACAGAGCGAGCACTGGTGACAAAGTGGAATATACAGGACTTTTGTTAGTTTGTTTGTTTACAGTGCGGTAGGACTGGATGGGTTACAGGGGAAAGGATGGGGCAAAAGTAAATAGTGAGAGAGCAGCTGGCAGGTGGGGGTGGGAAGTGCAGAGCAGCCTGGGGAGATGTCACAGGTGCACAAGAGCTGACACTGAGCGAGGAGGCAGGGACGAGCGTCACTGGGGAGAGCTGGCCCCCTGAAACTGGTGTTCAGGGGCCACTGGGTTTCACTGCCTTCGAACACATCTTCTACCCCCTCCCTTTTTCCTGTTCTGTTCTTTCAGCTTTCATCAGCTCATCATGGAAGATGCAAGGAATTCCCACTCCCTTGTCAGGCTTTCCCAGGGACATGCTAATCTGCAGTGGCCTCTCTTGCCTCCCTTCAGGTCTGCACCACTCGTTTGGTGATTCCTTTATGCACCGCCTTGTGCTGTTGTCCTGAGCTGCCATCTATCCCCAGATCATCATTTAAGTACACACAGTTTATGTTTTGTTTTACCAGTGAGACTGAAAGTTGCACGGGGCAGAAACGTGTCTTGTGCGTGCGGGTACCTGCTGCAGCATGGTGGGTAGTGATGTTCACGCCAGAGGTATTTTATATGTATTTATACAGACTACCTGGGTTCTTTTCTTGTTTGTTGTTTATTTTTGAGAGTCATGAGGTTTATTTATTTAGTTATTGTAACGGAGGTGCTGGGGATTGAACCCAGGACCTCGTGCATGCTAAGCACACGCTCTACCACTGAGCCATACCCTCCCCCCCGATATCTGGGCTCTTGTTTATGATCTTCGGCACTTCACTCTGTGATGTTCAGTTTACCTAACTCTAAAGTAGAGATAATAACTCCTCTTTCCATTCACCTATTTTATCTCTCAGCAGATATTTCATGAGCACCTACTGTGTGTCAGGGTGAGTGTGTGAAGTGAAAACGTATTAACAGGATCACTAGAAGCATCAGATAAGACATTGGGTGTGAAACATGCCATGAAAAGCAAGAAGTACTTACAAAGGAAAGGCTTTATTTAAACATTCACACTTAGACATCGAAACATTAACTGAATTATTTTAGACGCTCCCTCCTGAGTTCCTATAGCACTCTGAATATACAGTACCTATGTTTCAGCACTTACACACTATATTATAGTTATTTGTGTATATTTCCATCTCTGCCCCAGGCTGTGAGCTGAATCCCCAGCACTGAGAGCAGTGCCCGCCATGTAATAGGCCTCAGTAAATTTTTTAAATAAATTAATGAATGAAAGAAAACCAGCTTCCAAGCATTCTCAGCCTATAAAAATGTGTTCAGATAATCAGCACACTGACAAGAATTCTGTTCCTAAGAGCCTTGTGGAGAGAGTTACAAATGAAAAAAAAAAAAGTATAGATTTTTGCCTTGAAGGAGCTCATAAATGGAACAGAGAAGCAGAGACCATGCTTCTGAAAATGCCTTAAGACGATGTATCAAATTACATCAAAGCAGTTGTATTCTTAAACAATGACACAGGCATTGATGGATTGCAGAACAACAATACGAGGCAGGAGGGGTTAATCAGGAGGAGCTTTTTGGAGAGACAGGGAATTCTATAGGGAGGCATTAGCAGTATAAACAAAATTCACAGTCTGTCATTTTGTGGATGGAGAGGTTACGTGGACCACTGGCTGTTTGCGAGGGCCTTTGAGAGCTCTGGGGCCGTAGCGCTTGTGGGAGATGTTCGTCCCTCTGTGGGACACACGCACACATACACACCCATATGTAAGCACGCATGCATCTCTGTGGTTACAGCAGTGGGGTGATGGAATTGAAGTACTTCCCTTCTCTGGAGGGAAATCCTCTGTCCTCAAGTGCTTCTTTCTTTGCTTTCACATCCACCCTTTGAAGGTAGCAGCTCTGCATCTCTCAAGAGCTCTCTCCCCGGACTGGGTCTGCTCTGCCCGTGCCCCTTTTCCGTGATGGAACACGGAACTCATTCAGTTGTGATTCTTTGTTCCAGTGCCTTTGATCATCTTAGGAACAGGTCATTTGAGTGGGTCAGCGGAGGGCAGAGCCAGGGTGACAGTTGTTTCTCTCTCTCTCAAGGTTGGAGATGGAAAGCACAGGTCCCTGCTTTGGGGGGGGGGTAACTTACCGTCCAAATCACAGTCAGCCTTCCTCAAATGACATCCAGAAATACGGCCTCGGAGCCCACCCTACAATAGGTATTCTACATTCATTGATTCAGCAAATGTTTACTGTGCTGCTGTGATGGCCTGGCTATTATTCTAGGTGCCAGGGATAGAGCTGCAAGCAAGAAGAAAAAGTTGACTAGCTTCATAGAGATTATAGTTAAGGGAGAGAAAAGGGAAATCAGCAAGTTAATTTTATACAAGGATAATGTGCAGATGCTGTTAAGAAAATCAACGATGGTGTCCTAGGGAAGGCTCAGGGAAGATCTCCCTGAAGTTGCAATAACTGAGCTGAGTGACGAGCTGAAGAATAATAAGGAATAGTTGTATAATATAGTATAATATATATAATATTATATCATATAGTTATGATATAATAAATAATATAACATTATATAATATATTGTATATTATATAATTATAATGAGTACAAAGACCTAAGGCAAGGCTGTTCCAGGCAGAGAGAAGGGCAAGTGCATATGCCAGAAATTAACACATTGTAACTGACTATACTTTAATAAGAATTTTTTTTAAAAAGAGTAAGTGCAAAATGCAAAGGCAGGAGAAAGACGTGTGCACGTCAGCATGTGCGCGCGCGCGCACACACACACACACACACTCATGCACTGGAGTCAGAGCATCCAGGAAATCAAGAGACAGAAAACAGCAAAGGCTGGGTCACGCAGGCTTAGGACCCCATGGCAGTGCACTGGGGTTTTCTTCTGGGGGCAATGAGAAGCCATTGAGCCACTTGAAGCAGGAGGATGATGTGACCCCAGGAGGAAAGGCTTTGTACCCAGCCTGTGTCGTGGGAAGTGGCAGCTGCCATGCAGTTTTAGAAGTGGTGAAACTCCTCTTATGACTCTAAACCTTTCATCTCTCCTGAACGATGGAACTTGCCTTGTGGGGAGATTGTCTACCATCCTTAAAGGCTGCTTTAAGATATGTCAACCTGGAAAGCCCAGAAATCTTGAAGCTACTTCTCTCTCATGGGCTCCTTAAAACAAACGCCAATGAGTGGTTGGAAGACGAGTCAAATGCTATCTCACTAGGGGTCACCAAAATTCCTGGAGGCCACCTGAGAGTTAGTTCAGACATTCCAGCACCACTTCTACACTGAAATATTTCTAATAAGCACCTTGTTTTGTTGGTATATTCCATGACTTTCTTCTCTGGGAATTTTCCATTAGCTCAAACTCTTCCCCCACAAATACAGAATGTTTGATCCAGAAGTCATCTTACAGAGTATCTAATCCAATCTGCTTGGTTTGTAAATGAGTAAATGGAGATTCAGAGAAGGCAAGTGGTAAAACTGTATAATCCAGGTCTTTGGGTCTTAGTCTAATCTCCTTCCCACACACTTATCTAGCATGAAGAAGGACGAATTAGGTACATTTAGACTGGCTCCTTAATTCAGAAGAAGAGCCCCCACATTAACCAACCAATTCAAAGTTGGCCAACATGGAGGGTCTGAGAAGTGAAAACGGAATGGTTGTAAGTCACTGGATCTCTTCTCAAGCTCCAGCATTTATAACTCAGAACCTCCAAAATAAAGGGGAGAGAGTGACCATGGAGGCTAAAAAATCTCATCAAAGTTTTCATATCTGCAGAAGGTTTCAGGTAAAACCTCCTGGGACGGGGAGGGCGGTGAGGGGATGCTAACAGCAAGCGCTTGCTCTTAATTCCCGGGAGCCAGGTGGCTCACCTTGGGGCCAGGGAAGACAGGTGGAGGGCAGGGGAGGGCCGGCTCTGTTGGAGGGGTGAAGGGGATGGGCCCTGGTAATCCAATATCCTCCTGGAGCCACTCAGTGCTCCAGTCCAAATCCATCACTGCAAATGAACCAGGTGACAGGATTAAATATCCCCTAATTGCAGTCCCCCGGGAGGGGCTATGCCAGCTGTCTCTTCCACATGCCTAGCCCAGCAGATGGGAGATCAGATATCAAAGGGTCACTTCTGATGGCCCAGGAGGCAGCCTGGGTCTTGGCCACCTGGGTTGCATGGAAGGAGGAACGGGGGGGACAGATCAGGGTGCTGCAGTGGATCTGAAAAACAGAACAGTTAGTACCGTCTGGCCCCTCCGCATCTTTGTAGTCAAGTCCACGCTGCTCCGTGGCTGCTGTCTCTTTGTCCCCCTCATTTACCAGGACAGGATTTGGGCTGTTGCACCCTCTCCTCCTGCCCTCTGAAACTCACTGCTCCAGCCCCTGCCTCCGGGCCAGCCTGCTCCTCACGGAACCCTCAGTGGCAAGGATTTCTCATCACTCCTTCCAGTGCTCTCGGGAAAGAGGCTCTATAGGGCTGTGGGCTGTGTATTCTAGCATCCTGGGCTTCAGTGAAGGGCAGGTTCTCCACATTCCCTGAGGACCAGGCAAGAAGCAGTGGGACTTCCATTTGGGCTCCAGAAACGGACTTGAGGACTAAGCACAGCTGCTGGCCAGGGAGCAGCTGGCCGGACCGAGAGCACCCGTAGCAGGTGGAGGAGAGCAGGGGGACTTTTGGCCACTCTCAGCTCTTTTCTTCTGAGACCTTGTCACTTGGGAGGCTCTGCCATCGTCTCCCCGCAAGACTGCTGTCACCAAAATCAGCTCCCATCCAAGGGCGCTGGGCAGTTCCGTGGAAATAAGATGCATTTTCACTGAGCTGAAATCATGATATTGTAAAATCAGCAAGAGCTGGTACAAGCCAAGAATGCTCTCCATCCTGAGAGCGTGAGACCGTAAGACAGAGTGAAGGTTTGCGTGCCAGATCTCACTGGGCAAAAGCTAGAAACGGGCGTCACAAGGGCCACTCAGCCCACGGTGAGAGGACTGCAAAATGCTCTGGCAACCTTTGACACAATGTGATAGTTGAAAAAGACAAGACCTCCAGGGAGGGGGTGGGACGCAGGTCAGTTTTCCTTGAGGCAGCTGGAGAGCTCTGGGGTCACCAGCCTCTGGACTTAGAAGACAGTCTGATGCTGGTCCAGCTCTAACTAGTTGCTTTCTTTTCTTTCTTTCTTTTTTTTTTTTTAAGGATCTACTATGGTCTTAGAAATAAACCGAGGGCAAAGGTGATTAAGACCAACACTGCCTTTGCCCACAGGGATCATGTACCCTTTTGACTTAGGAAAGCCACTGCCTTGCTCCAAACTTCAGCTTCCTCATCCACCAAATGGAAGTTGTGGCACCCACCCCAGGTCCTTCGAAGGGTTGCCAAGAGGCTCACGCGAGATGACCGAGGGGAAACTGCCCGGGAAAAACTCTTCTGCAGGTCCCATGGAAGTGAGCAGTATTTGGAGTAATGCTTCAGCTCAGAGAGCCAGGGAGCTAAGACCTTCTTCCCTTTCTCCCTGTGCTGTCCCCCACCTTCCTCAGGCTCTAAACAAAGACTCAGTCCAAAGAGAATCATCCCTTGCTTGATGATAAAAGGGACAATGGTTTCTGGGTGGTCCTCTGGGCCCACAGACAGGAGCCCTGCCATCCAGGATGCCAAACAAACTACGTTATTTTGGAGCCAGTCAGCAGCCGAACGGTAGGCTGAGAACAAAGGACCTGGCCCCTTTCCGCGTCTCTGCAGTGGTCACACACCAGCTGAACACACCAGTTTCCACTTGTGCCCTGATTTAAAAAAAAACAAGAAATCTGGAATCTCAGTATAACGCCCCACCCCCTGAAGACTACAGGTGGTCAGAGGGTCCTGGTAATGGTGTCTTCGGGCTAATAGTGTGTTTTTATTTAGGCCAGTGGACCCAAATGTTGGAATTACCTGGTCAATTTGTCAAAATACAGACGCTCAACGTCTACTATGAGAGATTCTGATTTTGAAGGTATGGGGTAGGGCCTTAGGAAGGATTCAGATGCATCAGAAAGCTTGAGAACCTCATATACAGACAACTCACATGGTCTTGTCTGTTTTTAATTATGTGTTCAGGACCGAGCACAGAGTAGACAATCAATAAATGTTTGTTGACTGAGTAAACGAATCCATTAAAATGTATCCAAATACACTCAAGTAAAAAGCAATGTATGGCAAAAATCAAACTTTCTTGTAGGACTTAGAAGTCTTCTAGGATCCAGTGGTCCCTGATTGGCTTTCTGATTCTCAGTTCTCAGGGTACGAAGTTGAGAAACTTCGATCTGACTTTTTTGGGGCTTTCTGTTAGGTTAGTTCTGAATAAACGGACTTTGCGCCCATTGGCATAAAATAGACATTGATGTAAGAATGGTTTATCTTGTTTCTTCTTTCAATATATTTTATTATTATCATTATTATTATTATTGCATTATCAGTAATAGTAATAGCAGTAAGTGCTTTTACTTTCATTACCTCATTTCTTCGTTAGGGAGCTTATGAAAGAGAGAGGGAATTATTATTCCCACTTAACAAATGAAAAACAATAGCTGATGTATAAAGAGGTCACATAGCTCAGCCCTGCAATCGCCCAGTCGGAAAACAGCAGGATTAGACCCTTGACTTGGAATCTGAGAGTCTTTGCGCTATAACAGGCTTCCCCCCAAAACACTGCAGATCTGAATCCAGTGACCGCCCACCTACATCATCCGAAATGTGCAAAACAGAATGACTGGCATTATTCACAAAGCACCGGGGTGCGTTCCTTCACCAAAGATTCCCCTTTTATAAAACGTCTTCATTTAATGTGGGATCATTAAGAGGTTAAGTAAGACAGATAACGTAAAGAATCACTCACTGCTAATTGAAATGCAAGCAAATCATCTCTGAAGTGATCATGTAAATTAGTAGGAAAGAGGAACTCGTTCTAAAAAAGATCTGGTCTGTGTGTGACTTTTTCGGGAGTACACCTATCACAGGAAAGTCAGGTCAAGGTCTACGCTCACCTACCAGACTTCTATAGGAAACCCAGTCCTGAACTGAAAATAAATTGACAAACAAGCTGCCTTTCCTGTCTTGTCTCCCAGTCAGGTCCTCATGCTGGCAGAATGTTCCAGCATCCAGCAACTGCACTCATCCAGACCACGGGCTCCTGTATTTTCATCTAGGCAATTTGGGCTGAAAGAAGCTTTCAGCGGAGTCCAACAAAATCAGCGCAGCCTTGGGCTGCATCTCGATGATGCCCGGAGATTGAAAAAGGATAATGATTTTTCTGAATATTCTAAACCTCTGGATTTTGAAAATGTCATTCACTTCAGCTATAAAGATAATGACTGAGTTATTCAGCCCAACCCATGAGCCTAAGTATTTTAAGCTATGCCTAAAGCCATGACTTTCTTTAACTCCTGGCTTCGGCCATTTCAAGTGGAACTGATCAATCAATTTATCCTAAAGTCAATTTGATTAAATCGGTCAATTCAGTTTAACATCTGGCTATTCCAGTGAATGGGCTAACTGACAAAACAGACCAATAACCTTGACAGTGGGTCTGGGAGCCCTACAGAGATGGCATAGGAAGCATGAAGTCATCAGCTTCCCAAGGTGGGACCACTGGCTTGTAAAGCAAGGGCTGAAACAGACATGAGTGGAATAAAGATACCCTTTGTTCTCTATGGGTGTCTCTGGGGCCCAGAAAGATGGGCAATTCTTATCCTGGGAGAGCCCTGATTGCCTTCTGGAAAAGCCTGGCTCCCCATCAGCCCTCCCAGCCACCCCTCATCCCTAAACAGCCCACAGACATCCGGGTCCCTGTCAGTTCTAACAGGGGGTGGGGATTGGTCAGGCCATTCATTGGTTCTGAAGTTTCTTCTCCTTAAACCAATTTGTTAGGTGCTTCGTGATTTACAGCCACAGTGGAAAATGGGGCTGGGTATTGATTCTTGGCCTTTTCTATTGCAAATGGGTGTAATGTTTTATAGTATGTCAGAATAATAGCAGTGGGCACTCTATCAATGTCAAATATTAAAAATGATCAGCTATTGTGATGTAGGAGATTAAATATGAAAGCTTGATGGGTATATAAAAGTGAAATGGCAATAATAAAGGGGTTTTTATGTGCGGCTCATTGCTCTCTGGAATCCACCTGGGGAGCTATTAGAACCAATTGTGCTGATCAGTGACATATCACCATAGGTTAAAGGACGAGGTAGGTGTGCCCCTCCCCAGGTGCAGTTCAGCCTGGCAAAGTGGCACCGGAGAACCCAGGTAGAGAGATCAGAGTTCATCTGGCCCTACTTTTGGGAGCCTGAGAGCAACTTCTAGGATGGCTGGGAAGGGACGGTAACAAGGCAACTGGAAGTCAATGAGAATTGCCTCAGGTCACTGTATCCCCCCGTACTTTCTCCTGCCGCGATGGCTCGGTCTCTAAAGTCAGCCAAGAGAATTCACCCTCTTCTTTAAGGTTACTGGAGAGGTGGCAATCCCATTATGTAACCAGCACAGAAAGTTATAGCTGGAATAGATCTCCTAGGTCACCTTGTGTAGTCAACCTTTCCTTTTAAAATTTAGAGAATGGAGGCCCAGAGAAACAGAGACATGTCCAAAATCACATAGCCAGTGAGTGCCAGAATTTAACCACACCCAGGTCCAGGCTGGACATCTCACCGTCTGTCCTCGTCTGCACAGGTGTCTGATGTGATCATGTCCTCTAGGTCAGCGCTGCCCAACAGAAAGGTAATAAAAGTCTTATATGTAATTTTAAATATAATAGTCACATTTTAAAAAGTGATAAGAAATAGGTGAAATTAATGATGTTTTTTATTTAACCTAACATGGTCAAAATATTATCTTTTCAATGGGTAATCAATGTAAAAATTATTGAGATATTTCACATTGTTTGTTCCATGCTAAGTCTCTGGATGTATTTTACAATTGCAGCACGTGTCATTTTGGACTAGCACATCGTGTGCTCCAGAGCCTCGCGGGCTGGTGGCCTCAGCTCTAAATTGAGATGTATGGGGCCCGGGAAAATGTAACCGCATTCCCTAGAGAGGTACATAGGGCTTAGAGGTCATGTGTACTTTGAGAAAGCAAACAAATACAATAATACACCTGGAAATGTTTTAAAAACTCATTTATAAACACAAAACTACAGGCAGTAAATCTTGACAAAATCTTAGTGAAGGAGTTTTGAAGACAGACCGTCAATCACATATGAGGCTTTTCAGGAAGGTATGGAAAGTGTATAAGAATTTCTGGCAGTCGTAAGGGACCTAGGAAATGTTTTCTGTTTGCCAAAAATAAACGTGAATTTACAAAGACTTAGAAACCAACTAGACCTTTGGGGTGGGGCAACTTCTCAGATGATGTTGTCGTAACAGAAGTTATCACACTCATTTTCTGAGGGAAAAACCAAGTTTAAGAGCTGTAGAGTCTCACGTAAAGGTTAAGTCAAGCCTGAGACTTTATATAAGACACCAGGTAACCCTTGAGTCACCCAGTTACCTGAGTCACCGATGCCCTTCTCTCAAACAACAGGGGAATGGCAACCTTGCTGAGCCACGCCTGCCATTTGCAAATGGGTCCATCCTGGAATATCCTCCAGGCACATCCAAGGGTGGGGGAAAGAGAAGCCAAGGCTCCCAGCTTCAACCTGGAGATCGGCCCCTGCCCAGCAGGTGGGGAGGCAGGAGCTGGGGAGAGCGGACATCGGTTCCAAGCAGCTGTCTCCATGTTGCCACTTCCGAGAGCAAGCCGACCATATAATGTACACAAAGCCAGCCTGA